TAGCCGCCCCACTTGTTTAAATTTTATAAGATTTTCCAGCAATTAATTGACAAATTACCATCAAAATTTCTCACCTTGGAATTTTTCGCTAAAATGGAAATACCGAAATATGTCGAACTTTGGCTTTCTCTATCCAAACATTTGTGCACGTTGCTCTGTCTTGCTCTTCCTCTTCTTGTTAATTGCGTCATTATTAAAAATTCAGATTCTTGAGTTGGAATTTCCAAATTTTCATTGGATATCCCTCAAAATTAATTGTTGGGAGTGAAAATCAAAGATGTCGTTATGTAGGGATAGATGATATTGTGTTTCTCCAATCTTTTCCTGCCCTTACTTAAATTCTGAGTTTCCTCCACTTTGCCATTATAATGATAATAAGATATAATTTGAAATTGATAAAAAAAATTGATATAATTTGGAAAATTGAATAAAAAAAATTAAAGAGAATAATAAGAGAGATTGTAGAGTAGAGAAGAATAATATAGAGTAGAGTGTAGTATAGTATAGAGAGAGTAGAAATTTTTTTGTGAGGAATTTGTAAATCAAATGAAATGAGGTATTTATAATAAATCCAAAAAATTATCTTTCCAAAAATACCCTTGAAACTAGCCGTTATGTAGCCATTTATGGTTGTTGGGAGGGATAATTAAGAGATTTCACAACAAAATTAAAAAAAAAAACTGAAAGTTTCTAACGGTTAGAACTGCCGGTTCGAACTGGCGGTTCTAACCGGCTGGAGAACCGGCAGTTCCATCCGGTTCCAACCGGTTTGTGAAACCGCCGGTTTGCAGTTCCAACAAAACTGGAATCGGAACCGAACCGAAAATATTCGGTTCCTGTTTCGGTTCGTATCGGTTCCGGTTCTCACCGGTTCCAGTTACGGTTCGAGACCGGTTCGAACCACCGGTTTCGGTTCCCTGAACCGTAATATGGCCATCCCTACTTCTTAGTAATCAGGTTACTTCTTACTTTTTACTTCTTAGTAATAACAATTTTTTATCATGGGAATTAATAATAAATATTTTTTATTTTCTTTATTTATCTTCTTATTATAGTAGTTACACTACAAAAAAAAAAAAACGGCATTTTGTGATAGGCCAATCGGTCGCAAAACGCAAGAAATCGGTCTCTAAATTGCATTAGCGACCGATCTGCGACCGACATACATAGGTCGCAAAAATGCTTGTCGCAATATATTTTGTGACCGATTATTTATTGGTCACCAATTAGCGACCGATAAATCGGTCGCAAAATTAAAAAATTGGCCGCAAAATTTGATCGTGTTTCCCGTTGGAAACGCTGTCGCAAATTGGTCGCAGAAAAAGTCTGTCGCAATTATGAAATTCGGTCGCAAATCAGTCGCAAATTATAAATTTAAAGTTTTTATTTTTGGTCGCAAATCGGTCGCAAAATTAAAAAAAATAAAAAAATAAAAATTATTATAAAACCATAATTTTAAAAAAAATAAAAAAATAAAAATTATTATAAAACCATAATTTTTTTGCACATGTGAAAATCGACATATGTATATATATATATATATATCACAAACGCAATTCAAAAACAATATAAAAATGTAATTGTTATTATACTGAACAGAATGTCAAAAAACAACAGGAAAACTAAAAAGATCCAAAATCAAATCTATGCGGTTGCTTATCTGCACAATCCAATGTTGAATCGCCAAGAGGAGTACCTGCTGGATGTGCTGTAGTGCCAGGAGGGGTGACTAAGGTATCGTCTGCAGCATCGGGATCATGAGACGGTAGTGGCTGCTGCTGAGATGTAACATTTTTCGGTGGTGTAGCCAGGCGCAGGTCAAGGAAGAAAGTACCACCCGGTGCTCACCGGCAACGAACCGATGACATGCACCTAAGTTCTGCAAGTCATGTCTCTGACTGATCATCAACACGAGCTCGTTAATTCAGATAACTCCTCGATAGGTGCTCGGGATGTGGTCCTCGCTAGCATAGAAGCGTGAGATGCTGAAGCCGCCAGTTAAAACCTGTGATGCTCTGAGACCCGATGTACGTTTATACCTTCCTCGTTCTTCTCGCCCCCTACACGCCTTTGAAGATAAAGTCACCTCATCGAATTCTTGACTCAGCTTCAGTATTCATCAGTCTGAGAAGAAACAAGGACGCTCCCGAGCTGTAGCTATAGTTCTCCTGAAAACAAAAACATTTAATTAATCGATGAACAGTTGGGCAAGCTTTATTATATTGAACTTTGAACATTTCGCAACGACTTAGAGGGTTAGAAGAAGATATCATTCATTGTTTACTTACATTGACGCTTCACCGCAGTCTGTCGACAAACGTATTGAAATCTGGTCCTTCGTGTGCAGTGTATGTAAAACAATATTAATAATAGATATAATAATAATAAACAGTAACATAATAATATAATAATAAATAACTAATAATAATAATAATAATAATAAATAATAATAAATATTTAAAACCACCTAATTTCAAAATTAACCCTCTTCAAATTATACCAAAATCGCAAAACAACACATAAATGCCAAAAAAAAAAAAAAAAATGGAAAAAAAAATAAATCGCAAAACTTACCCTTTCACTAGTGTCCAAATAGCAGAACGGCGTTTGAGAGTGACCGGACCTGCCAATGGAGCGGAGGGGCGCGTATAGGCGAATGGAATCGGCGTTGCAATGGAGCGGAGGTGGCGGCGTTAGGCGAGATGGAGCGGCGTCAGGAGGGGCTGGAGCGGCGTCAGGAGGGGCTGGAGCGGCGCTGCGAACGAAGGAGAGGAGAGGAGAAGGAGAAGAAAGAAAAAAGAAGGAGGGCGTCTGACGTTTAAAGCGCTAAAATTTGCGACCGATTTGTCGGTCGCAAATTTCATTAAAATCAGTTGCAATTTTTAACTCTGCGACATCGTTTTATTTCGGAATAAAATTGAGACCAATTTGCGACCATAGTCTTCGGTCGCAAATCGGTCGCAGACTTTATTCCATATTTTGAAGCGTGCAATTTTGCGACGGAATAACACGTACTCGCAGATCAATCGCAAAATCGATCGCAGATCCGTCATATACTAGTCGCAAACTGAAAAACAGACTCGCGAGAATTTTTAGCGCTACAATTAGCGACTGTTTGTAAATAAGTCGCAAATCGGTCGCAATTGTGAGATCGATTTGAGTCGGTTGCAATAATCGGTCACAAATTGGCGATTTTTTTGTAATGTTAAAGTAAAGAGATTTTCAAATCAGCTGCAATTGGTCACGAAAATGATGAGACTCCAGTGACATAAGAAAGGTATGTACATTTGGCTCTAAAAAGTATATAATTTGAAGAACACCACTTCATACGCACACAAAGATATATCAGGGATACATGTATGTTTCTGATACTATAAGATTGATGAGGACATTTGAGCTTCATTCACTAATCAACTTATTTCTTATATATTTCAAATGGCGTGAGTAATTGTCAACAAATTCACTTAAATGAGCCCATTCGATTTTTTTTTTGTTCAGATATGGAAGTGCTAATTTGTGTAGTTCAGTAATTGGGGAACGGTAGACAAGTTTCTGAGAAATTAAACATTGTTAGTGCTTCTCTGTTTCTACTATTGATTTGAATAGCTTATGGTTTATGGTTTTAGCTTATGCTTTTTGGACCTGTATTCGTATGGTTTTAGCTGTTTGCTTTTCTATTTATGGCTGCTATACGTGATTGTCTTGATAAAATTTTTCCATCTATAGTTTGCAATTGGAAATTGTATTTTGGACCTGAAATTATGATCTGAAGCAATTTTCCTAATTAGTTGTTTGTTATTTTCGATTTTCTTGCTATTTTTGATACGTGTACTTGCTATTATAATATTTATGTTTCCAGAATCATCGTATAGAGAATAATTTCATAATAGATATAACCGATTGTATGTGAACATGATGATGATATGTTATCTAATCATAAGTTCATAACTTTATAAATTATATTATAATTTAAATATATTTATTAATATAATAATTTTGAAATAATTATTACAAAAATTAATACATTTATAAAAAAAAATGTAAACGAGCTTGTTTATGATCTTATTAAACTAGCTTGTTCATAAGCTTATTAAACGAGCATGTTTACGAGCCTATTGAACGAGCTTGTTCGCAAGCCTGTTTGCAAACCTCACAAATTATACAGCTCGCGAGCTTTACTGAGACGAACTATTTTATGCTCAAGTTTGGTTCGTTTATTTAAAAGAGCCTAAAATTTTGTTCAAGTTTAATTCGTTCAGAAATCGAAACTCGAATTGAGTTGAACTTTTATCGACTCAAGTCTCGAATAGTTTACAAACAGTTGGTCTGCTTATAGCCCTAATTGCAGCTGTTTCGACAGTTTTCTCTTTATTTTAACTACTACAATAAAGAAGATAAATAAAGAAAATAAAAAATATTTATTATTAATTCCCATGATAAAAAATAATCAATTTTTATAGTAAATTAAATTATTGCACATGGACTTTTACAAACAATATTGGAAAGGAAAATTTATGTAATAGTGAAATTGGGACATGGCTTCATATATATTATATAATGTACACAGGGAGATGCGTTGATTTTTGCTTTTTTTTTTTTTTTTTTTTTTTTGAAAGGTGGATATGTGGGAATTTGTTTTTCAACAAATTTTTTCAACAAATTAATAATATTTTAATTAATTTTTCGATATTTAAACTTGTAGTAGATATTCACGTGCAGTTGAATAAAGACAATTTATTTAGGATCTTTAATAATTCACAATTTTTATGATTTGGGCATGTGATTGTCAGTCAAACAGTTTATCTTCACAATAATAATCTCAGCAATTTGGTTGGTATAAGATTGCTCATTGCAATTGCATGTTCCACAAGGCCTTTCATCGATAGCGACCCATTTGTTTTACAAATTTAAGCAAAATATTTTTATTTGGGCTGGACTTCTGTAAATGGACAGTGCACACATATATGGGCTGGCTCCTCTTTTCAGTGGATATGATAGTCCATTATAGAAGAACCTCGACTAAACCCTAATTGAATTACTGACCGAATTCCTCAAACATTCACCTTCATCTCAATTCAACATTTCTTGCTGTCTATTTGACGCTGCCCTTCTCGACTTCGACCTGTAAGTTTCATTGCTTATTTTGTGTATACCTACTCTTAATATTCTTTTAAAATGGGGTTGTTTGATTTCAACAACAAAGATACATGCTTTTTTTCTGTTATGATCATTTTGTGTGAGCTTATGTCTATTATGATTTGTGGTTTTTGTTCGAATCTGTGCAGTTTCTTTTTTCCTGTGAGAATTTTGTGCGTGTGTGTATAAAAATATATAGTTTTGAGGATCAGCTACTGTTATGGTTGTAACTGTCTTAGAACTCTACATTTTATTTGATTTTGTAAATCCTTATATATTATTGTTTATTTTCAGTTAATTTTACTCTTGAAATTGGATTGATTTGGTGCTGCTGCTGAGCTTATCCAATTTCTCATCATCAGCGTTATAGATGGGATATAATTTATAGTTTTTCTACTCCACCTGTGAAAAGAATAAATGATTATACGTCTGCATGTTTTGATGCTGCCTATAACTCAGTAGGCAGTGATTGGTACAGTATTAGCATGTGGTGTTAATCTGTTATCTCGTTGACATAAAAATGGATACATTTGTTATGCGCATCAAGTATAATCTCAGGCTGATTGGTTCTTAGCAATTTTCCCATTTAGTTTTAATCACTGGAGAGGAACAATGCCACGGAAGGCAACAAGGTCCAGCCGATCAACAATGGTTCTGCCTGTGACCTTCTCCCCATTTGCCCGTTCAGTTGCTAATCTTACCTCAGCTTCCACAAGCAAGCGGCAGAGACGTGACATGAAACTGCACGAATCTTCGGCCCGAGCACCTGGTATTATTATCTCAGTGTACATAAATATGAAATGAGATTCTCTTCACTTTTGCTTTCTGGTTCATATGATTTGATGTGGTGTCTAGATGATGAATTTGTTAATCACACTTTGGAAGAGAAGAATGAACAGTCTGAGTCTTCTGAGGAAGAAGATTTTGAAGTAAGCAATTTTTTTATTTGAATTCATGGCAACAAAATCTCAGTTACTAGCCTTTTTTTGGTGCATTTTAATATTTATTGTTATGTGTTTCGATGTGTACCTTTTGAAGGGAGTTATCCAAGGATGTGTACCTTTTGAAGGGAGTTATCCAAGCAGATTTTGCTTTCTTTGATCCTAAACCTGGTGATTTTCATGGAGTGAAGATCCTGCTGCAAAATTACCTTGATAATGAACAATGGGATTTGAGTGGTTTTGTAGACTTGATATTAGGACAGACTACAGTGGGGACTGTTGTTAAATTAGAGGATGATGAAGATAATGGGCTGTTTTCTGTTGTTACTGCCCTTAACTTGGGAAGATATAAGGTAACTGATTTATACTTTCAATATGTTTTCCCACCTTTTTTGATGATTTTTGGAGTATGAAGTCTCTCTCTTGCTCTTGAGTCTCCTGTGGTTCCAATGGCTAATTTTCTGCAATTACATTGTGGCTTATCCAGTTAGGCAGTCTGGTAGGATGGGAATGGTTTACACTTTAGATATTCCCTGCTTAAATTTGATCTGAGTACAAGCTGTTACAGCCAAGTGTCTGACTTGTAGTCTCTATGTAACAAAAATGTTTCGGTGCCATGATTCTGCCTTTAACTTAATTGGGCTAAATAATTTAGTGGTGGACTTTCTCAAGAAGTCTGAATCAACTTTAGGTGCATGGTTAACTTCTACATACACATGTTATGTGTATGACAACATATCTGTGAAAGATAACAAACCCTGGTCATGACTTATCTACCTAGCTTTGAACCTGTCATTTAAGAGCACGTAGATAATCACCTTTCCTAACAAGTCTTTGTTGAATGATAGCCATGCTGTCTGTTATTCTCAGTTTGCTGTTAACCATTGATTGTACTTGATAGTTCTTCAGATCTATGACATTTCGTTTGTGCTGGCTACTGAATTATGTCCTGGTTCCTACCAGGATCACAAATGTATTACAGAGGTCAAGGAGTTCCTAACAAAAGTATGCCAGGACAAGAATGTAATGGATGATTTAAGATTGTTTTTGGAAGAGCAAGCACATGATGTTGGTCTCTTGATCTCTCAACGTGTTTTCAATCTTCCTCCTCAACTTTTGCCACCTCTTTATGATGCCCTCTTTGATGAAATCTTATGGGCTACAGAAGATGAGGTTAGATGAGAATGTTGTATGGAATGGGTGAGCTAGATATCTTTCTTCACTTTGCTGTACTCGACTTTGTCTGCTTACTAAATTTTTCTGGTTTCATTGTTGTTGAAGCCAACTGAGGAGCTGAGGAAAGCTTTCTGCTTCAAGTCCTATTTGATAGTTAGTAGAATTTACAAGGTAAACCATTATAGAATCTCCTGCTGTTGTTTGTACTTTTACTTTGTGCTCTTTTAGGATCTATCGCTGAAGTAATGCTCTCTCTTTCTCTCTCTCTCTCTCTCTCTCTCTCTCTCTCGCTCTCTCTCTAATCTCTCTCTCTCTCTCTCTCTCTCTATCTATCTATCTATATATATTTCATTGGTGGATTTGAAACCACAGCACAAGAATGCAGACCACAAAAAGGGGAAAAACAGTCACAATGAGGAATTGCTGATATATGTTAAGCCTGAAGATGAAATTTTCCACAAGGTATAGATTCTTTTAACATCGGTATAATGCAAGATGCTGATGTTGCTTCTTTCTCATGCCCTGGTTGTTTCCAATTACCTTTCAGCTCTGCAAGTGGTCTTTCTATTTTCCTTTGCACTCAGAGAACGTAACAACTCATGAGGCAAGTAATATTGCTTTATCCTAATAGGGCTATTTTGGTCAAGTCGTTTACTAGCTAGTTTCAAACTTAATATCATTGATATGGTTATTGTTGAAATCAATGAGGTTAAGAGCATTCGTACATTGCTAATGATGGACTTCTATTATTTCCTTGTTGCAGCTCTGCTCTTTCTTTCTTTTTTCCTCCTTTATTTCTTTGTCCCACGGAGATGATTTTTTTTTTTGTTGGTGTTGTTTGGTTTGGCAATTAGCATTCACGCGTTGTTCATTATTGCTCGCCTGTACCTTTATTCATGCCACTACTGGCTTCTGTAGCCGGATGTTAATGCATATTTGGTTTGATTGCTATTGCAGCTAAGAAATTACCGGTTAACGGGTTTGGTCATGGCTGTTGACGCAGACAAAGTTTCTAATTTCAAAAAGGAGTTGCATAGTTTGATTGATGAATCTTGAAGTCCCAGTGTAGGCAGTTAGCAAATTTTCTGTATTCCACATGCCTTATTTTTATTTTTTATTCTTATCAGAAATAGTTGACAAACACTTGTTCCATCAAGTTGATTTCAATTGTATGTTTATAGGTTATTTGGTGTTGGAAAGTTTTCATTTCTTCCTTTGCTCTTCTGGAAGCAATTAATCAGTTTAAGGAGGATCTCTTTTTGCATTTAGATTAATGATTAACTCATGAGATAGGTACGATGATATTTTCCTTTTCCGATTTAGGCCATGTTTGACAATATTGTTATTTTATCAGTTGTTAGTTGTATTAACTATTAGAGGATAATGTTTCATAATTTACTTTCAAATGCTATGCCATAGTGCAGTATAAATAGTAGACGTAGTTTTGACTATAAAAAAAAAAAACACTAAACAGTACTTCAAATTGTCGAATATGGCTTTAATCTAGCCTTCCTTTTCATTTCTCTTTTTCCTTTCCATCATATATAGATATACTAGTATTTAAGATAGATGGTGCATGGAAAGGTTCAAATAAAACTTTCATATTTTCTTTTGTTTTTTCACAAATTGGAAATTTTTTTAAAAGGAAGAAAGAAAGAAAGAGATTTCCTTCAACATGGGATCAACAAAAACTGAAAGATTGATCCATTTATTACATATATAATTGATGAGGTCCTACGTTAAAAGATTTAATGAAGATACCTATTTAACTTCCCACTACATTATCTTCTACTGGATGTATTGCCAGGAAATTTGCAACTGCTTGTCCTTTGACGGTTTTCTTTGTAGCATACTCAATGTTGAACTCTGATAATAGGATTAACCATCTTGCTACCAGTGCTGGTGTTCCATACAGATATTTGACTAGATCCATTCTCGAGATTGCTATGACTTTGTAAGACTGAAATAGTGTCGAAGTTTTCTGGTTGCCCAAACCATTGCTAAACAGGTCCTTTCGATCATGTTATATTTTTATTCATTCGGAAGAAGCTTCTTGCTCAACTAATACAAAGTCTTCTCAACACCTACTTCATCAGCTTGTGCTAATATGGCTCCAATTCCGGCATCTTGCACTGTCAAGTACAAAATTAATGGATTTCCTAGTTTCGGTGGGCATAAAATCGGGGGACTTGACAAATAGTATTTGATCTTATCAAAAGCATTTGGCAGTGATCATTCCACTTCACTAATTAATCTTTCCTTAACAGGTTGAAAATTACATACGATGGACAACTTTGATATAAACCTGGTGATGTATTGAATTTTTTTCAGAAGACTTCTCACTTGCTTCTCTGTCTTAGGCGGCTCCATTTCTTAGATCACCTTAATATTGTTTGGATCGATCTCTATTCCTTTTGGAACTACTATGAATCCTAGCACTTTTCTTGAAGTTACCCCAAATACACAGTTCCTCGGGTTCAATCGTAGCTTGTACTTGATTACTCTATCCATAAATTGCTCTACAGCTGCTGGATGCTCCTTTAGTGTCTTAGTCATGCCAATCATATCGTCGATGTAAACCTTTAACTCTATATGGATCATGTCATGAAACAGTGTAGTAGCCATTTGATACGTAGCCCTGACATTCTTTAAGCCAAATGACATCATCCGATGGCAGAAAGTTCCAAACTCTGTAATGAAAGACTTGGCTTTATGTAATAGTGCCATGAGAATCTGATTGTAGCCTGCAAACCCATCCATGATGGAGTAGCATCCCATCATTGTTGCACTGCCTATTAGGATATAGATGTGAGGAAGGGAAAATCATCTTTTGGTGATGCTTTATTCAAGTCTCTGTAGTCTACACACATTTTGACTCGCTCATCCTTCATATGAACTGGGACTATGTTTGCTAATCATTCCGGATAGTGAACTACTTCTAAAAATCTTGTGTCGATCTGTTTGGTCACTTTCTCTTTGATTTTCTCAGCCCAGTCTAGTCTTAGTCTTCTCCTTTTCTGTTTCACTGGCTTGGCCCCAATATAGGTGGGATGGTGTTCTCAACTATAGACCTATCAATCTTAGGCATGTCTTCATAACTCCATGTGAAGGCCTCTCTCTTGTCCTTGAGTAGACTTTGAAATTTTATGTTTAATTCTAGCAGTAGGTTTGGCCTAATTAACAAATTCTATGGATTATCTTTTGTGCCAATATTAAATTCTGCGCATGAGCTTATTTACTTGATGAATGGAACCATCAAGAAAGACATCAAACAAGTAAGCAAAAATTAAAAAACAAGGACAGTTCATTACAATCAGTATCATCATCGAAAGAAATAAAGACACTAGAAGGGGACTCGGCTCCCTTGAAGCTTTCCTCAATGTAGTCCCGAATGGCTTTAAGCACTTGATCGATAGGGTCCTCAACCTCTTCAATGGTGCTTGCCTTCTTATTCTCTTCTCTTCCTTCTTCTTGAGCAGCTTGCTCCTCTTTCTTGTTCTCTTCCTCGGCCACCTTCATCCCTTTAATCCCTTCTTTCTTTTCCTTCATCTCTTCTTTCTCTTCCTCTGTCTCTAGTTCCTTAGGCTCTACTACTAGGACATTAATCACTTCGGCGAAAATCTTAAGGCTAGGGTATGTCTTCCCGTGGTGCTTGAAAGGCTCTATTGGTAGACATGAGAGGATTGTTCACTCAAATGGACGAAACATCCTTCCATGTCTAACTAACCAAGTGTTTTCTTTGGCTTGCTCCCGTACTTGAACCTTTAGCTTAGGCGATGCCTTTGAGCGTAAATCTTAGGTAGTTCGGTGATATCCTGTTGGTCTTTCCCAAGCCTTTCCCTCTTTAAAGTTCATCTTCTTCAGAATATTAAAGCAACAGGCCCTATATCAGTACTTAGAATTGCTATTTGGAAGCCAGTCCAAGGGAGAATGACATGTTCGTCAATGTTTAAAGCAACTACACTCTTTTCGCTTGCAGTTGGAATAGTAAGCACTTCTCCATTAAATGGGAACTTAATCTTCTGGTCTAGCATAGAAGGAACACCTCCCAAAAAGTGGGACCATGGGCGCCCTAGTAGTAAGGCAAAGGTTGAGGGGATGTCAATGACTATGAATTCTGTCTCCTTTTCAATCGGCCCCACCTTAACAACAGTCTTGAATATACCCTCCACTTGTCTCTTGAAATCATCATACGCATGAATGACCACATCTGAAGATTCTAAATTTGACACATTCAGGTTGAATTTTGATAAGAGCTTTAATGGACACACATTCAAAGCTGAGCTATCATCAATTATAACATAGCCAGTTACTCTTCCTCTTACTTTAGCCTTAATGAACAAGGCTTTGGAGTGATTCCTACCCTCGAGAGGGAGCTCATCATCAGAAAATGTGATTGTTAGGGGGTTATCTTGGACCAACCTTACAACGTTAGTTATGGAAATTAATTATGAGACCGAAATCTTGACTATTGCCTTGAGTAGAGCCTCACGGTGTTTCTTGGATGAGACGAATAAATCCCACATGCTTACATTAGCATGGGTTCTTTTCAATTGCTTAATCAGTGTGTCGTCTTCAACATCATTCTATGGCATTATCGACAGGCTTGCTTTCTCATTTTCTGTTCTGGCCTTGAGCGTATCAGGCTGACAAACTCAACTGCTGTGGGTCTTATGGTTCACATTCTTAGCTTCTTCCTCCTCCTCACTACTCCAAATGTTTAGAGTAATGGGATTTATCAACAGGTCATCTTCATTTTCTACCCACTCATTGTTGCGGTCTAATCATTCTTCATTACTATCGTCCCACACATTCAAGATTGTCAAAAAATCTGTTCTAATAAATGCTCTCTTTCCCTTTCCTCTTCGTCCTCCTCAAATTCGGCCATGAACTCCTCGGGAGTCTTGCCAGACTCAACCATGCATAAATTCTTAGGAGGTGGCACATTGCGAAAGTTCGACAATGAGTTAGTCCATGTGCTTGGCCTACATTTCTTCGGATCTGTCACCTTGCCTTCATCAATTAGATTTTGAATTTCATGTCTCACCCGTAGACACTGGTCGGTGGTGACCATTGCCTTGGTGAAACTTATAATAAGCAATATGATTAAAGTTCTTAGGTAGAGGTAAGGAGGTGGTTTAAGTGCTAGCAGCTGTAACAATCCCACTGATTTGACTTTCTCAAACACCTTAGATAGGGGAGTACCAAAGTTTAAGAACCTTCTCTGCTGAATATTCATAGCCCTTAAGTCTAGAGTAGCCGTTGTGGCGATTTTGCTTAATTTGGGGGCCTTTCCTGAAGAGCTAGATCCTTGAAATCTAGATTTACTGAAGTTTCCAAAACGGTGCCCATACTTCTTGTCCTCTCTCAACTTGTTCTCAATGGCAGTACCGGCCTTATACACTAATGAGAACTCAGTCTGAGGCGTGTAATACATCTTTTCCTTATAAGCTGGCAGGGTGCCCTTGATAAAAATCTTAATTTGTTCCTTGGTATCGGGTCTGTTTCTCATTTGAGTGACCTTGGCTCTCCATCTAGCCATATAATCTGTCAAAGACTCATCACTTTTCTGAATTGTGGCTTCCAAATCCCGCAGATTGACACTCATTTGGAGGTTATAGGCTGTTTTCGTACCGGCCCCGAGCGACCCGAAAAACATCCCATTTTGTTTTTGATGGAAAATGATCTTATTTATGAACAATGTTGACAAAACATTTTATTGGATACGATGCCGATAAATCGGTCTTATAAAACATTTTGAGTCGCCACCCATTTTTTCGGCAATGGGACCGTTTCCAATTTTATACGATGCCGATAAATCGGTCGCTTATAAAACATTTTGAAGTCGCCCCGCCATTTTTCGGCAATGGGACCGTTTCCATTTTATTTTATAAAAAATGACTCCATTTTAAACCAATTCTATTTAGCGCAAATTATTTAAAGACTGCTAGGCGCGCAACAATGCGATTCTGGATAAAGGGAAATGGGGTAAATGCCGGCCCGCTGGAAGCCGAGCCGGGAAAAATCGGCCTCTTTTAGCCTACAATTTCCTAGATTTATTTTAGTTAGAAAAAAGCCAATTTATTATTTTATTTGAAAACCCAACCCGAATGAATGCGAACCGAAGTTCTTATATGAAAATTAATTAATCGTTCAATCAATTTAATCAATTGCATCCATAAATCATCCAATCATCCCCAAACCAATGCAGTTTAAATCGAATAGAGATAAAAGACCCACTCTTGCTTAGGATTTAAGCGGGCCCACAAACCTAACCTAAAAAATACCATTCTACCCCCGATTTAAATTTCAACCCAAAAATCGAAAAACCCAAAATCAATGTAATAATTTACCATTTTTATATTCTCAA